TTTCGTGGTGCGGCGTCTAGGTGAGATAGGATCTTGGGAACCAGCCGTCTTGGTAGAGCGGTATTGGGGGGGCGCCGAGCTGGCTACCCTCCCCCCCTGTGGTTTCCGGAGGCTTGATCGCCCGGCGTTGCCGCAGGGTCTTCCCGTTTGAGTACTTTTCAATTTAGACCCAGTGCTGTGGAAGGGCGCGGACTTGTGCGGTGTTACCCCCTCGACGGGGGCTATCTCCCCTGGACTAGCCCAGGGAGGGAGAGGCGGAGGAGGGTAGTAGTCTCAGGAGGCTGTTTGGCGTCTTGTGGTGTGAGCTCTTTGCGCTCTTTTTTGCGTGAGGATTTTTGAGCTTGGTGACCTCCCCAGCCCGGGAAGACTCGTCGGGCTCCCGGTCGCCCAAGTCCTGGTAGCGAGCTCTCTGAGATGCTCGGTTCGTTCGGTCGGCAGGAAGAGCCCCCCAGTTGCGACTTCGTTTATGTTAGGAGACCAACGGGCATAGATCCCGTCTAGTTGGAGCGCCAAACAAGCGCTGTTGCGTGCCGGCCGTCGTTTCCCGTGCGGCCTGACCCGGGGGCGGAGTGCATGAGACTAACCAGCCGTATGCACCCGCCCCCCGCGCTGTGCTTCGGCCCTGGGCCCCCGGCTTTTCAGCCCACAGTGTAATCAACGTCATACATACATACATACATACATACATACATACATACATACATACATACATACATACATACATACATACATACATACATACATACATACATACATACATACATACATAGGCCCGTGTACGAGCACGCAAGACGAATCGGGCAGAAGTGGGGATGGGCTGATGAACAAGAGACATACTAGCCCGCACAGCTAGCTGAGGCACATCCCGGGGGAAAGACGAACCACGAACTGCTGAAGTGAAGCTGCTGCCAAGGAAAGAGTGTACAAGAGTGTACACACATCCCGGGGGATGAGGTGGACGGGACGGGAGCCTAAGTTGAGGGCAGCTCTTGGGTACTACCTGTGCGTTGGGCAGGCTGATGGGCGCCTCCACGGGCGTGTGGCAAATAGGTTCAGGGCTGCAATCAAGTGAGGGGCGGAAGAGGGAGGGTGTGACACACCGAGAAAAGGTTGGAAGTGAAAGGATGGCAAAGGGCGGAAAAGGACACCGTGGGAAAGGGAGCAGCAACACTGCAAGATACACCACCGCCCACACGTCCTTCCGCCTGTCTACCTGTCTGCCTGTCCGTCTGTCTGTCTACCTTCATCAGCCGACGCCCAGCTACCCCAAACAGCCTCAAGTGTGCGCAAGGGGCTATACTGGTATGAACCGGTACCCATAACACAAGCTGCCACTGGCACAAGCATCCCCACAGGCCCTATTCACGACCGCACACCTGGTCGCCACCAAGCTCTCTGATGGGTCTGCAGTGCCCTGCGCCCGCACCTCGTAGCGGTACCCCATCTCCCCCAACACACGCAGCTTCGAGTCCTTCGCGCTGCCCAGCTTTTCCAAATCGATAAGCCCCGCTGCCTGTACGTCAGTACGTCGCAAAGGATTACGTCAGTTTCTGCATCCGTATATCACGAGCGTGTCGTACGTTGGCACGCAGGCCCACGCTGCCAGGGTATGAAGTCAAGGCCCAGACGGGAATCAGTTCATGAATGACATTAAGTTGGGGGGAATGTTGGAGAGAAGGAGAGAGGTGCGTGTGTGTGAAGGGGCGGGGGGAGCCCCCTAGTCGGGAGCGGTCCCCGGGCGGGCGAAGGGGGGAAACAGCCGGGCCGAGCGGCAGGCGGGACAGGATAGCTCGGGCCCACGCCGGTCTCGTCAGTCCAGCACAGAGAGGGACTCCCAACAAGCTCTCAACAATGACGCTCTCGCATTTGATGACATCAGGGCCTGACAGCCACTGCCTTCTTCTGCCTCTTCGCTCCAGATCTTCAATGGCCCCAACCTGCCACGGTGTTCTAAGCGCGGTGTTCCCTAGTTACCCCATCACAGCAGCTCAACAAAAACTAGTTTCTAAAAGCCGGTAAGCAACGAAGCCCGGTAAGCACCCTTCAGACGAGCAGCCCCACAGACTCACGAAGCCCCAAAACTTGGTTTGGTTGGCGGCATCGTAGCCACACGGCGCGCCGCAGTAGGAATTCACGGCGTGGGGGATGCCAAAAGTCTCGTTGGGAGTTGCTACGGCGACGAAAATGGGTTCCCGGACAATGACGCCGTGTCCACCTTCAAAGAAATGCAGCGGACCGACCAGGGTTCGAGTCCGGTCCTTGACAATCTTCAGAGCGCTCTCTCGGTCGGTTGCTGCATGCAATAATGAGTATTCTAGGAATCGGAACAAACTATTGAAATTGGAACTTGGATGCGAATTCAAAATCGGATTTGGGTCCATGTCGTAAGCAATTCAAACTGGAGACGGGATGCGAGATGTAGCCGTGGGGTGTTGACGGAGTCACAGAGCCTTATATGAGCTTTGCTGATGCCATCGACCTTAACAGCGGCCTCCACAACAAACGCAGACGTGGATGAGACTGGCATACAGCAGGAATCGGTGAAGGGCGGGGTTGGCGCAGGAGGGGAGGAGCCTCCAATAAGTGCCCCAAACGATCCCAGAGCTGGCAAAAAACCCCAACCCACAAAAGTGAGATGTTGTATTTGACACCAATCAAAAGCCCGTTTTCAATCATGGCACATTACTTGGGCGACGCATGGTTGCACATATCGACAAGTCCAAGCCTGTCCCTTCATCGGCGACTTTACCTATCAGGCTCACAATTGAATAGGTCAACGCCCGCAGCGCCGCCATTGTTCCCTTCGAGGGGATAAATGTCCGCAATGACACCGCCGGGGACGTATTCTAACTGTTTGATGGTGCGAAGAGGAACCTGCTCCATCAGAACTGGCGCAAGGCCCGCAAAGACGCTTTGTACGACATTGTACTGCGGGTTGTACTGCACTATGGCAGCCATCAGTTGCACGGGTGCAATAGCGACCGATAGCTGCTGACTGAACCAAATGCTGGTGTCCAGGGCAAGGCTGGAAGCCCGGCTCTGCGCGGGATCGATTTCGGGAGTTGGGCGCTTTGGTTAGGAGGTGGCTTCAGATTTGGGTTTTGGTGTGCGTGACTATGCCTGTGAGCTAACTAGGATGCATATTGTGCGTCCCGCGGATATTGCTTAACTTCTGTCCGCCTGCCGCAGGGTTACCTTTAAAACCCCTGCGAGTTTGAGCGAAAGCCCCATCTTTCGTATGGGCTATTTCTTCTTAGGGGCCCCGCACGGGGCGCAGAGGCTAAAACATGCTGGAGCCCCCGGCAGCCGTTGCCATAGGGATACTTAACGGATGAACAGATAGACCCATGTGGTGTGCCTACCTTGGCGCTGTTCTCCTCGACCCGGCCGATTCGCGTCACTCCCCATGTACCCAGGCCCAGCACCAATCCAAGCACGAACAATGGCCAAAGCAGTGTTGCTGGAAAAGCTCGTATAATACGCCATATCGCCTATGGAGCAACTCAATTAGGGGAGGAGTTGGAAGGAGCCATCTCAACCCAGTCGGCACGAGCTGAACGGGGCGCATAACTCACTGTGCAGTTGGCGATGAGTCTTTTGGCAACCGCATGAAACGCCATTTAAAGCTTAAATTTATACAATATAGTCATCATCAAGTTGAGCAACTGTCATGGAACAACTGTTACAAGTCACAAGCAGCAATTGCATCAACAGTCTGTGAATGCATCCTAAGAACCCCATATCCGCCACGTGCACGTCCTTGTAGGTCACAGTTTTGTAAATCACTCCAGACCAATGCAAAGGGCAGCACCTGCTCGGACTAACAGCCGTCACGCGCCGTGTTGAGGTGTCGAAGAAAGGTAAGGAAACCAGTATGCTTCAAGCTTCGCTTATGCTACTAGACAGGTATCGCTAGTTGAATGTGCGAAACAGCGCACGGTGCTCAATGACACGTACGACGGTTCGGACGATTATCCAGCGCCCACTTTTCTGCAATATCAGTGTGATAATATCGGTTTTGAGAGAAAAGTCTCACCATGACATGATGTACTCGTGCCTGTGAGAGTCGTTAAACTCTACTTGGTACTCTGCTTTTCTTCGTTCTGATACTTCGTGGTCAGCCCAACAGCGCGTTTATTACCTTTTTAACTACCGTCAGACGCGCTTTCCTTGCAAGCTAACCTTTTCAATTGCTTTCCGATAAAACCTGTCTATATGTGTGCGTCGGTATACTCACTTTTGCAAAAACGATAACCACAATTCTACAATTCATACCCCGTTTGTTGACATGCAGACACCCGTTTCTGAGTACTCTAAGACTGCTCGTTTAGGGCGTTGCACACGAGCCGGTCGGTCTCCACTGTAACAGCTACAACTCTAAGACTCGGCGGGTAACTCCCAGTACCGCACCACATGCCATTGCCATGAGTCCTACCTGACTAAATCGTTAAGATCGTCAAAGTCACGTCAAGTTAAGTTCTTTGCTCTCGGGCGCAGCGGTGTCGCTTATGAAATGACTGCTAGGCACGCAGAACAATGCGAGCACCCGGGACAGTTGGTAACAGGTTTGGAAAGCGGCATCGCGAAGGCCAAACCTACAAGGGCCCTCATCTCAAGCTAACGTGCAAGTGCCTATTAGTACCGCACACACAGATGACTGGATAGCCGCACGACACAGATGTTGCCGCACCCGAAACACAAATCTTACGTAACCCTTCGTTGTGCTTCCCCAAGACGTAAAGCCTGTGCGGCGCGCAGGCCTGAGTTCGATATGGATGACGATAACGTCCCATGTGTGCGTGTGTCTTCAATATGTCCGTGCACGCATGTCAAGCGTTGCTTCGAAACACGACATGGGCAGTTAGTAAGGGCACCCATGCCGTGATAGCCGTGCTTGGAAGGATCGCCAACATGGCCCATTTAAAACGGGCCATGTTCTACTTAGGAATGGCTAATACAGATCGTTCCAGCCAGCAGCGCCGAGATTTTTAGTCCATCCGAAATCCTGGTTGCAACCCAGATCATGTCCTCTGCCCATTAAACAAATGCTATTAATAATTTTTAAATACATATGTAGATAGCCAAGGCAGGCGCCTGGGACAGTGTGAGTAGCTGTCGAAAAATCGCGCCTAGGATTACTACCCTATAACAGGCAGACAGCACTCCATAGTATCAAGCGCCGCGAATGCTCCTCAATTCTCAGCTACACCCTCTCCCTCAGTGACGTGAGGTTATCCCAACAACACGCTGAACCGCGCCCTCAACATCACTCATCCTGCACCAACAGCGCGTGAATGCGTGCACAGGCCGGCGTCGCCGTATTCGCCCCCAACGCCACACCAACCACCCCAGTCGTTTGTGTCAACGAAGGTCGACGAAAAACCACCACCACTACACCACTGTAACCGAAAACCCAACGGCCATGTGCCCTACCTACATCGCACCATCACTGCCACCAGCCAATTTGAAGCCAAGGCACGCGGTTCAAGGGGGATGCTCGTCAGCTCGCTCGCTTCCATGGGCTCGACCGAAAGCCACAAGAAGCCGGAGCCAGGCAGGGGCGCCAAAGCAATTCATGGAGAAGACTGGGAGGGAAATGGGTGAGGGCTTCCATGATCTGCTGACGCGGTGTGTGTATCTGTATGCGTTTATGTACTTGTGCGTCTCCTGTTAGGGGGCAACCTTTCCACAGGACGACGCGCTCAGCGATGCATGTGCTGCAGGAATGCAAGTAGGTTGAGAAGGCTGGTGTGACCTCATTCCCCTCTCTAACGCCAGAGACCGACAGACATACATACATTGCGACTTCGTTTCTATTAGGAGACCAGCAAGCATACATCCCGTCTAGCTGGAGCGCCAAAATCCCGGAGGGGAGCGCTGTTGCGTGCCGGCCGTCGTTTCCCGTGCGGCCTGACCCGGGGGCGGAGTGCACAAGACTAACCAGCCGTATGCACCCGCCCCCCGCGCTGTGTTTCGGCCCTGGGCCCCCGGCTTTTCAGCCCACAGTGTAATCACCGTCATACATACATACATACATACATACATACATACATACATACATACATACATACATACATACATACATACATACATACATGATGTTTCGGCTTCGGCCCCCGGCTCTCGCGGCCCACAGTGTAATCTAAGTCATACATAAAAACATGATGCAAAGACAGACAGCCAGACAAAAATGCAGACCGACCAACCAAGGCCGCCAAACGAAGAGCTGGCTGCGTGGCGAAGGTTCGCCGAATGAAATCCAGTGTGCATCACAAGACCGAAGCATAAAGCAAAGGGAGCGTTGCAGCTTCCCCGGTGCCACCACCCAGTCCCTGACACACCCAATCAGCAACAGCATCAGCGGCAGTCACAGCAGCAGTAGCAGCAACAGCAGCGGAGCAGCAACCCCAACGTTTCGTCCAAATGATTCAATCCAATAATTCTAACACCCCCCCTTAATTCACAGTTTCCTGAACTAAGCAATCGATAGATCTCCTGCAATTAGGGCTGGTAGCCCCGGCCCTGGAAGGAAGGCCTTAACATAGGAAAACCGGAAGTGTCACATTATCGCTCTGCCTGCACCAGCCGTCCCTACTGTCCTCCTTCATATGTCTAGCAATGCAGAACGTGCGTCACTAATGAAAGCGGCCAGGTCCTATTGGGACGTGAACAGGCGAACAGGCTTCAATACAACTTGGTAGTAAGGCCCGGGAGAGGGGGAACGGCTCAAGTCCAGGGAGGACAGCTCTCGCGAGGCGCCCTCAGACAAATCCCAAGCTCTCTTCACCCCCAAGCTCTCTTCATCCCCAAGCTCTCTTCACCCCCAAGCTCTCTTCATCCCCAAGCTCTCTTCACCCCCAAGCTCTCTTCATCCCCAAGCTCTCTTCACCCCCAAGAAAATATTCTCCCCCCAAACCCGCCCGCCAACCCAGCCACGCACACTTGGCCCCCACTGCAACAGCTCAAAAGCCCATGCATTACTAATATGCATACTTGCACACTACCCACAGATGCACCAACCAACACATGTACGATGCAGTTCAAAACATGACTTCCATACATTTGTTCTTAGGCTCCATTTGCAGGCCATTGGGTTCTGATTATGTCTAGTTCGGTGGGTTCTGGCTCAGGTGCCTGATGGCTGCACCGCAACCGCAGCCTGGCGGGGCGTCTGCTGAGCTTGCATCTTAAAGCTTCGAGACTCGGCAAGCGCATGCGAATCTGCGGTGTAGTGGTGGTAGTTGTCCATGAAGCAGGTCATGAGCGGCTGAGTTCCCGGGAATGCGCTGCACAGCGCGTGCAGCAGCGGCAGCGCTACAAAGTCGTAGAACCCGACTTGGCTCTTGCTGACTCCCTGCTTGGCCCGGTCAAAGAGGGGGCTGATGGGGATTCCCAGCTGCCGCTCCTTGTCGCCCTGGCGAAAAAACTCCTCCTCCAAGCTAGAGAGCCACCTGAAGGTGGAGAGGGAGAGGGAGAGGGAGAGAGACAAGGAAAGAGAGGTAAACAGAGCGGAAAACACCCAACGGCGACCAGGAACCCTCAAGTCACTCCAAAAAGCAAAGCCTCCTCCAAGCACAGAACGAGTTACGAGTTGAAGTTGTGATATCATTGCTCCGGGGGCACGTGTGAGTGCGTAAGGGCAAACATGGAAGCATGAACACTGTGCAAGACTCCTAGATGAACAGTAAGAGACGTATCCTAGTTCTTCCACCTTTCCCTTCCCCCTGTCTTGACCCATGAAGCGCAAGTGGCACATGTTACCTGCGCAGCATACATCACTTTGTCATGTCTTCTCCCCCCATACACACATGCATTTACACCATAAACGTATGTACACCATAAATATTCAAGGTGAATATACATGTACACAACTCTATACATCCACACAAACAGACGCGGCCTCACCGCTTGTGCACTTCAAAGCCCTCCCCCAGGTGACCCAAATCCGCCGCCTTGATGACCATCTGCAAACTGAGCAGCCGCTCCGTCTCGTCCAACGGTTTCGGAGCCATGTCAAGCATTGACGGCGAGGCAATCGATACCGCAGGGAGCTCCAAGCTACAGAAAAGCGTACCGGGTCGGAAAAGGCGGGCCGGGGGATTGGAACGAAAGAAGACTGCTCTCTAACCAGCATCATTACCACCACGGAGGTGATGTGGGTCAGCCGGAGCCTACAAACAGCAGAATGTGCGGCTTTCTCCGCAGGATGCATAACTAATAATGAGGAGTCATAACAAGCCACAAGAGGAGTCATGTTGTAAGGACTCATAGCGGGTAGGTTCATGCTGTTCCCTAACAGCCACCCAAAGGCAGCTCCTAAAGGCAGCCCCTAAAGGCAGCTCCTAAAGGCAGCCCCTAAAGGCAGCTCCTAAAGGCAGCCCCTAAAGGCAGCTCCTAAAGGCAGCCCCTAAAGGCAGCTCCTAAAGGCAGCCCCTAAAGGCAGCTCCTAAAGGCAGCCCCTAAAGGCAGCTCCTAAAGGCAGCCCCTAAAGGCAGCTCCTAAAGGCAGCTCCTAAAGGCAGCCCCTAAAGGCAGCTCCTAAAGGCAGCTCCTAAAGGCAGCCCCTAAAGGCAGCTCCTAAAGGCAGCTCCTAAAGGCAGCCCCTAAAGGCAGCTCCTAAAGGCAGCTCCTAAAGGCAGCTCCTAAAGGCAGCTCCTAAAGGCAGCTCCTAAAGGCAGCTCCCAAAAGCAGCTCCTAAAGGCGCCCCCGGAAGAGGAGCCCCATGCGACCACCCACCTGGCTTTACAGTCTGCGGATGTCGCCCCCACTGACCCTGAGGGCGGAGGGCCTCCTGCCACTGCAGCGGGTTTGTTGTAGCTAGCGAGCCTGTGAACGGTGCTGAAATGGCTAAGCAACGAAAAGTGCTGCTTCATGTCCGTTGCGAGCACCATTTCTATGACCTGCATCAGTGGTAGCGGCAGCAGAATGATAGCAATCATGACAATAAAATTACTGCAGCGGGACAGAGGGAGGAGGTCTTAACGAACAGCAACAAATGGTTGCAGCCCCTTAGCAACCCCTTAGCTCTGTGAAGCGGAGGTTGAGGGTTTTGCGGCCCTGACTAGGCTCCGGCTGACCCGCATTGTTTGGCTTCGGCCCATACACACAGTGCTGGGTTATGAGATTTATGTACCGTTGGGTGTTGAGTTATGATTCGTAAGGTTCGATTGCAACAGCATTCAATAACAAAAGCAGCAGCAGCAGCAGCAGCAGCGGCTGCGGCCATGGGAGGAAGGGCAGCAGGAAGGTATAGCATAGACGCTGACTGGCGCGCGGTAAACTGGTATCAGAAAGGCAGGGGATCCTGCGCCCTGCTATTACTGAGGGCAAGAAGCGGAAGAACCTAATGGTCGAAACCCAGAGCATGGAGCTCCGAAACCCATATTATAAAAAACCCAGCCCCGCACGCATAGGCACTGAGCACATGGCACAATATACCTGTTTTCTAAAAGTGGACTTCTGGTCCGTCGTCAGCGGCGCCAACACGTCTAGGCCCGTGCGGCGCATGCAGCTGAACGCCGCCGCTGCATGGTGGTTTTCCAGCGGTGACTTGTCGTTGTACCTGACCGCCAGCGGGTCCGATGTGGCCACCAGGAAGTCGTTTGTGAGGCCCGGGTGCCCGTAGTCGTGAACGATCGCCGCAAAGTACGCCGCCAGCAGCCCCAGCTGGTCGAGGTAGTGCACGTGCAGCTGCGCGCCGTGGATGATGACGTGCAGGGTTTGGAGCACGTCCGCGGCGTGGGTGGCGTTGTGGTAGGGGTTGTCGTTGTAGCCGGCCTCGATGTGGCGAAGCAGCCTAGAAGGGGGGGCCGGGAGAGAAACGGGAGGGTAAGAGGCGGGTAAGAGGAAGATAGGGCAGCGGGTCAGGGGAGTGGCATGCACACATGCAGTCGTTACGTAAAACATCTAGAAGGGAACGGGGAAGACCGCATTCGTAGGAGCTCCAGCAGCCACACCGGCACACCGCCGATGGACAAGGCACAGACAGACGGACGCACCTTGCCAGCACTGCCGGTTTGAGTTTAAGATTCGTAATGAGCCCGGCTCTTTGTATGAGGTAGAATCCCAGTGCCGAGAGCGGGTGGCCGTGTGTGACGTCGCGAAGTCGCCAAGTGTCAAACTGCCAGGAGTCCGCTTGTGCGAGTACCCGCTCCACCTGTGTGTGTGGGGCGGGGGGGCGGAAGTGGGGGGGAGAGAGGGGAAAGAGAGGCGGGGGAACAACGGATGAGCGAAGGGAAAAGTCAACAGATCAGGGCACAGCGGATAATAGCACAGGGAGTAGGGATAGAGGGGAGGAGGAAGGGGAACATGTGATGCAAAATGCCAAAGAAACAACAACAGATGCCCTATCACCGCACAAGCTTAAGAGGCCAAAACACACAGGATATGTATCCGTAGCGGCTGCAAAACAAAACAAAATAAGACAAAACAAAACAAGACAAAAACGAGTAAAAAGGACGCAAGAAAAAACAAACGCCGCCTTGACCGTGCCTCAAGCTGACAAAGCTGCAAGCCCATCCCACCAAAGCGAGAACACACAACTCGACATGGTCGTCAAACTGGTAACCGGACTGACCTCCTCAATGACGGGAGCGGGCGGGGTGGGAGGCTTCTTGGCAATCATTGTCGCTATCGTGGCGCCGCCGAGCCCCGTGATGCTTCTCCGGCTGACCGTCGCAGCCCAAAGCCGGCCGTTCATAAAGCCATTTCCCCCGTGCGCTTCCGAATTCCCCCCGTGTAAGAGCGTGATGGCGTCGGGGTGGTTGTTGCTGCTGCTGAACGTTTTGCTCTGGCCGCCTCCGCCACCGCCTCCGCCCCCATCCGGACCGTCCGCTATGCTGACACTAAGCAATGCACTTTTGCGCCGTGCTCCGCGAGATAAGCCGAAGAGGCTCGTGTGCGAGTCGCCTTTGCGCGGTGGTCGCCGTATGGAAGGCCCGGCAGCAATGGGAGCGGCGGCGGCGACGGGAATGTTGGCAGAGGTTCCTGGCGGCCCCACTGCACCGCTGCCGCCGCCGCCGCCGCCGTGCGTGCCGCCGTCGTCCGTTACTCGTACATTGCTGGTGCTAATCGCGCTCGAGTTTGCTACGGCGATTCGATCCTGTCCAACGTCAGCGGGAACGACTTTCCCTGGAGTTGACGTCGCCGCCGGCGACGCTTCCCCAACAGCGCCGGCGGCCGTCAGAACGCCGCTCCCGCCGCTGCTGCCTGCCGCACTTGCCCCGCCACCGCCGCAGCTGCCACCGCCGCCGCCTGTCGTACAGCTCGTTTGACGACCCAGCGGCGACGCCGTCACCTGCATCTGCTCTGGGCTGCCACAGCGCCAGCTGTTCTGCCGTACCATATGGGATGCAGCGCGCCCAAAGATGCTGGTGTTGGATGGACGGGGGCTAATCGCCACCTCCGTCTCATGGGTTGGTAACGCCGCATCCGACGCGGCGTCGCTCATGTCAGGCCCACTGTCGTACCAGCCCCCCTGCGGCGCCAGGATCATCGCTAGCGCCCCTGCAACAACGAAGATAACCAAGCACGCACGTATATTGGATGTGTACGGCAAAAGGTACGGCACCAGATACCCATGGAGCAGCTTCCGCGGCGTTATGGGGCATGACACTCGCATAAGAATGATGTCCGTCTCCCCCCTCCGCCACCGCCGACGCCACCGCCGGAGGAAGGACCGGCACCAGGCAGGGCCTTAATCCCCTCTTGCCCTTGTGGAATCTCGTGGCTTCAAAAGGCACCAGCAACATGACAACCCCCCCCCATTCCCCCACACACCTGAAAGCGTCGCATAGTCGTGCTGGCCCAAGGTCAGAGACTTGTGGAGTACGGCACCGGATCGCAGCTCTCCCCCTGCGCGCCACAAGAAGTATATAATAGATGCTATGGTGGCATTGGTGCTATGGTGGCATTGGGGTTCTTGGGGGGTGAATGGCGCCCATAGCATATCCCACTCCGCACCTTCCGCTGCATCCTCCGCATCCGAAATGGCGGACGACATGCTGAAAGAGAACTTCCCACCCAGCTGGTGAATCAGCGCCTTAGTCACGTCGTCCTGCAGGCGGCGAAAACACACACAGGTGTTCTTCAATGCCATCCCATATCATGAGCGACCCCCCCTCACCGCCCCCTCACTCACATCCAAGTTGGCGTCCCGTAGCTGGCTGCTCAGGTTGAGCGGCTGGTATATGTCCATGTTCTGCAGGATCTGCTGCCGGATGAGCACAATGTCCCGGATGTCCGGGGTGACGCCCTCCAGCAGCTCCCCCAGGAGGTTCAACAACACGTCCGCGGTGGTGGCACCTGCGGCTGGAGTGTGAGATGGCCACATGAGGTGTCAGTTGCGGTGTCAGGACAGTGGCACCTGGCGGTGCCTTCTTTGCACATTGCTTTTTTGCACATGGGTTACACACACACAGACATCGTTCCCTCCACACACACACACACACAGACATCGTTCCCTCCACACACACACACACAGACACACGCATGTATACAAGCCCTGCATGGCCTGGCCCTGCCACCCCACACACCCGTTGATCAGGTCCCACCCCCACATCCCCGCCCCCACCCCACACGCACCTGTGTCCATGATCTTGGGACCCAGCCGCCACTCCGCATTGTATTTCTTGAGGTGGTCGATCATCTCCCTGGGCAACAGTGCTTCCAAGAGGACCTGGTGTTGCCGCCTGAGGACACAACGGCCACACACACGCTTACATCATACATACATACGTACATACAGTGCTCTACCCGCCCATCTGCCGACCCACTGCCGTACATAGACCGCCGTACAAACAAAAAGAAAAGCGGTAACGCTTACCTGGAGACCAGCATGGCAAACATGAGCAAGGAGATAGTTAGCGCCAGGAGTATAACTCCCACCAGCAGGGGCGGGTACCAGGCGGGCACCCAGCCCTCCTTGGGGGCCACCCGCAGCACCCACTGCGCGGCGACACAACAGCAGTAGCAGCAGCAGCAGTAGCAGCAGCAATAAGAACAGCACCAATAGCAAACAAAATATAGCAGTAACTGCAGTAGCAGCAGCAGGAAAAAGAACAGCGACAGCAGGGGCGGCACTGCTAACCGCGGCAGCGGCACCACCGCCACCACGACCAGGGAGACTCAGAACTACTACATGTCGTCTACTACCCTATCAGCCCACACCGCCATCAAGCTATGAGCCAGCAGCCTGGGCGCCCCTCCATGCCACCTTCCCAATACATCTCGCTCTCGTAACTTCGGCGGGATTTCCTCGTACCTCGGGATTTCCCTTTTCCTTGGCTTACACAGCCAAGGAACAGCCATGTATCCGCATGGATATATCCCACAGCTCAGTTCGCTTAAACCCATGCACCCACCATCGTTTGTGGCAGACTGACGTCCACATGCACGGGGTTGCGCGGCAGGGTGCTGCTGCGCGCGACCGTGGTCATATTGGAGGTGTCGGGTACGGCCTTGTCCGGCAGCCAGTTGGGAGCCAACAGCTCAAAGTTGTAGCCGGATGCGGCCATAGCGCGCAGACGCGAGTCAGGGCAGTTGTGCAGGGTCTTGAGCTCCACCAGGGCTGTGGACTGCACATGTGGGTGGTGATGCGTTGGTGTGGGTGTGTGTAGGGGGGGGAAAGGGGAGGCGAAATGAACTACGAGCAAGTGAAGCTCAGCCCCCGTAGGGGGGGAAGGGGAGGGGAAAATTAATTAAACGGAGGCTGTGGTTGCGTTGTCGGGGGGTTAAGACGAACCACTGGTGAATGGAGCAGATGCAAAAGGCGGGTATCCCAGGAGAAGGTGATTGCTGCAGGAAAGGTGCCCTGGGGGGGGGAAAGACGAACCACGAACGAGTGAAGCTGCTGCCGAGGGAGGGAGGGGGAAGTGTGTATGCAGCAAAGCCAACGTGGGAAACAACTGTGCGCGGACTGACGCTCGAAGCCGCAAACTGCCATACAAGTCCAAAGCGATGGGGAGAGGAAGAGGGAGGTGGGAGGGAGGTGGGAGGTGGGAGGGGGGGAGGGGGGGAGGGGGGGACCATACCATGATGCAAGGAACATATATATTACGGCGCCGGGAAGGGGAGGAGAATGGCGATGTAGGGCAGCCCGACAACGGGCTAGGAAAGCTCCCAATGGGGTGGTTGAATTGGCGCAGGATAGCGAGATGGCTCCAGGGAAGGGTTCCAATAACTATCTTCCTATAACTCCTGACCCTGTCCAGCCATCACGTTCTGTAGCCGTACATCAGCCGTACTCCCGCCTTCCCGTCCGCCCACACAACCCGACCCCGCGTCTCTCTTTCATCTTGTTCCCACTCATCCTTCGTACACACACATACAACCATACACAGGCACCAGCTCCCACCTGCGGCACAGAGCTCATTGAAACACACGCATACACACGCACGACTTACAAAGCCCCAAAACTTGGTGCCGTTTTCTGGGTCGTAGCACAAGCTGCCGCAGTTGGCGCTCAGGTTGTACGGCGAGCCCCACGTGTCCCCGGCGTCGGCGACCCGTATGAACACAGCCAGGCGGGCCCGCACGCCAAACCCTCCCTGGATGAATGTCAGCGGACCCATCAGGGTCACGCCACCTTTGCGCCGCATCGTTTCCAACGTCCCCGGCAGTAAAGGCTCCTCTGCAGCAACAGCAGCAATAGCAGCAGCAACAGGAAGACAGGCGCACACAAACTTACTACAAATATTTTACCCAGCGGGTTTGTGGACGAGTAGATGATTACGGCCTTGGGCGTCCTACCTTACGTTTCCAAATCGATTTCCCCCCCCCCACAAATCCCCCCCTCTCACCGCCGCACTGCGTTCCTCCGTCCCACCCCCGTTCCTTTCTACTGTGTAGGAAACAACATTCCACAATGTACATGACATTGCTACAGTACGGTAGTGTCACTGCACGTGCTGTTGCTGCGCTTGCTGCTGCTGCTGCCGCTGCGTGCGCTGCTGCTACTGCGCCTGCATCGTCGTGTTTACCACCGGTACACCCAGACCGGTGCCCGCCACCGCAGCAGTAGCCGCTTCTCCTCTCCTCACAACTAGAGAGCGGAGTCCAAAAGCGTCCAAAGCCCCGCACTTGATTACAATACAAATCATAAAAGACCTATAGAGTCAAACTCACACACCCAGGGTCTAGGAACTGACACTAGAATAGGGTAGGATTCGAACCCCC